TCGCCCGTCTAATTAAATCCAGAGGCGCTCCTCAGACACCAAAAAAGGAGCCAGATAACGTGTAGAGTAGAGCACAAACTGTCCAGTTTGGGGCTTCGAATTAACGTCCGCCATAACCATCGTTAAAATGCTGGTAGGTTAAACTAGGTTACAAAAATCGAGAAGTACATGCCTACCCCAAGCTTCAGAAATATTGTGCCATGAGCCACAGAATGTGATGTCAAAATCACGGCGCAACAGAGCAAGCATAAAACATCATTGGGGTGAGGGGAGGCAGACACTGTGGGAGAGACACACAGTAATAATAAATAATGATCAAATGTGTAGTGTTGCATAAACACATAGGAGGCTTTATGGGCAGCCCCCAGCAGATTGGGCCTATTACAGCATAACTAAAGGTCACCAGACTCATCAGCCTGTGAGCTTTATCAAAAAGGAAAGTTTAAAGCCTAATCTTAAGCACAGAGACTGTCTCCCGAATCCAAACAGCTGGTTTCACAGGAGGACCAGCTCTCAGGGTCTGGAAACTGAACGCTCTGCCTCCCACTCTACCTTTAAACATCCAAGGAATCAAAAGTAAGCCAGCGGTTCGAGAGTAAATAGCTCTATTGGTGGTGATATGGCCCCATGAGGTCTTTGAGATGAGATGGGGTCTGATTTTTCAAGACCTTGTAAGTGAGGAGAGGTTTTTTAAACTAGATTCTGGGTTTAACAGGGAGTCAGTGAAGAGAAACTAATATGGGAGAAATCTGCTCTCGCTTTCTGGTCCCTGTTGGTACTCTTGCTGCAGCATTTTTGATCAACTGGAGGCTTTTTAGGAAGTTGTTAGAATACCTGATAATAATAAATTAGTATCCCGGCATTTTTGACCAGTTACCCAGCAGACACCAACACTGTCTGCTGGCTAACGCTGTGTGACAGCTGGAGGAGGCAAAGACGCATTCTTGGTATCAATACTGTTGCAAATGAGTATCTAATGTAATAGTAATTTTTTATTATCAACTTCTGATTCAACCTTATATAAATAACCCTAGCTGTAACTCTACAGGATCTCTTCAATTAATTTGCATCAGTCTGTGGTGAAACGTATGGCACCGCGCAGTAGGAGCTCATGTATCAGATTCCACGTCTGTCTTTTATCCCTCCTCTCAGGGTTTGCAACACCAGCACATAGTCCTTAATCTTGGTGCATCTGTTGGCCCGCAAAGCTCCATTAAACAGCCGGACCACTCTGATAAGGTTATTGACTTAATGCTCAGTGACATAATTAAATTGAGTATTTAATCTGGCCACTGGAGTGGAGGAGCCCCCGACCCCC